TTCATTCCGCCCCGCTCTCAGGGCCCCCCTGACCCTCCTCAGGTGCTGCCGGGGGCAGGTCCCCCCGCTCCGCACCCTCCCACCAGTAAGAGCCACTGGGGCCACCTTCCCCATGTGAAAGCAGGGGGCAGACAAGTGGGGTACCTGCTGCCGGGGACAGGGCGCTCAGAGGTCTTGAGCAAGATTCCCTCGAATTTTTTTCTACCTGTGTGCAGAATAAATTTTGTTATGTGCACCAAGGCATGTGCGAATGTGCACCACCCACAGAAACACATGCTGCTGGCTGTGGGAGGCTGCGAGTGCTCTGCTAACCCGATGGACAGCATTGGAATCTCTCCTGGGTGGCCGCTCAACTGCTCAGCTTAAACACTGGTCCTGAGAGCTGGCTTGGAGGGGGAGTGTCATTGCAGGGCCGAAGGCGACTCCCTTGGAGCTGGAGAGAGAGAAGCAAGTTCCGTGTTCCAAGACCCTGAGCCAGGCAGCCAGCAAAGTGCCCTCTCCAGAGTTACTGACCACAGCAGCTGGCAGCACAGCCAGGCCGCCGCCCCTCCGGGTTAATACTGCAGGAGCTGCCGAGCTAACCGGGCGAGCAAGGTCGTTACGTGGCAAGAGGGGGACCGAAGAGCAGAACACACCCTCTGCAGAGAAGACAACCCCACGTCCTTTCCACGGGGAAGTCTTAAAGCAGTGGTTCTCAACTCGTTCCAGTCCACGGACCACCAGGCCATTCAAATAATTTTGTGGACCACCTCCTTTTTGAGACATGATAAAAAAGAGCAGAAAACGAACATTTTGGTTTGAAATATATTTCTTACTAACGGATTTTTGGTGCCTGCCCACGTCGTGTGACTTTGGACAATGTTCCCGTGAAAAAAGTCACCATGGACCACCAGTTGAGAACCACAGTCTTAAAGGAAGCAATGAGCCAACAGGGTGCGCAGTACAACCCCGACGGGGCGTGCGTTATAACCCCAACGGGGCGAGCGTTATAACCCCGACGGGGCGCGCGTTATAACCCCAATGGGGCGAGCGTTATAATCAGGACAGGGCGTGGGTTATAACCCCAACGGGGCGCGCGTTATAACCCCAACGGGGCGCGCGTTATAACCCCAACGGGGCGCGCGTTATAACCCCAACGGGGCGCGCGTTATAACCCCAACGGGGCGCGCGTTATAACCCCAACGGGGCGCGCGTTATAACCCCAACGGGGCGCGCGTTATAACCCCAACGGGGCGCGCGTTATAACCCCAACGGGGCGCGCGTTATAACCCCAACGGGGCGCGCGTTATAACCCCAACGGGGCGCGCGTTATAACCCCAACGGGGCGCGCGTTATAACCCCAACGGGGCGCGCGTTATAACCCCAACGGGGCGCGCGTTATAACCCCAACGGGGCGCGCGTTATAACCCCAACGGGGCGCGCGTTATAACCCCAACGGGGCGCGCGTTATAACCCCAACGGGGCGCGCGTTATAACCCCAACGGGGCGCGCGTTATAACCCCAACGGGGCGCGCGTTATAACCCCAACGGGGCGCGCGTTATAACCCCAACGGGGCGCGCGTTATAACCCCAACGGGGCGCGCGTTATAACCCCAACGGGGCGCGCGT